TCTAGGCGCGTAATGCTGCACGATGGATACATCACGCCGCCAATCCAGAGAATATGAATATCATCGCGTGTGTTCGATGATTCTTTTTCGTTTTTTCTTTCTGTTGTGGCTTTGTTCCGTTCCTTTTCATGTATTTACTCTTCGAATATCTCGTGGTGGATGTCGTAATTTCATTGAAGACAATGAAACTTCATTTTTTGCAATTTCGGGACGCCAGCTCGTGCCGACCCATGGTCTAGGGTCAAAGGGGACTTCGTAAAAATTCGCAAAAGTCAAGGGGGACTTCGTTTTTTGCATTTTCAACTAGCCACCTCGTGCCGAGCCCTGTTTAGGTGCTGTGCACAACCTTCTACCACCATGCCATCAGATTTCCAGTTCCGTTTTTCCAAAACTCAGCTGATCTGGTCCCAAAAAACTCGTCTAACCAGCGCCTAAGATCGCCTTCAAAATCAAAACAGACACCGTCCATAGGATCGGTGATAGACTGGAAGATGACAAAATGCTAAAGCGAGATCTCAAGAGTACATTGAGTATTACTGTACCTTCCGGTCAATTCTTGCAGGACAGCTATGACGACGGTTGCCGTAAGGGACCAACTTTCATCGCGTAAAAAAGCTCATTGGACCTGTTTATCAGGCTTTTTGTGCAGTAGGAATTATTTTAGACGTGCAATCGGGTTCCATACGGTATGAACGAGAACGAGTGCCAAAAATGCTTTTTTTGACTTTTGAGAATCCCTTTGGAAGCTGAGGAATCAAAGCAAAACAGGTTTTCATAGAAAATAACTGGTTATTTTTGAAGAACATGATCATCTTTTCTTGCTTGTTTACGCATCATGCCGCAAATCAACCGCTCCTTAGAGAAATGAGAACGAGAGTGAAAACTCTACGAACTTACGAAACGACATAATAAGTTGAGTGGAGCGTACCAAATTTGAGGGCCATCTGATTTGGCAATGAAACGACGTCATAGCCCCCTCTTAAAACAACATATTTTCTACATAGTATTTCCCTCAGCTCATGCCCAACCCAATAACTAGTATCCAACATAAAGGATGAAGGTTTTGGCATCTTTAATACACTCTGCAGGCATGGGACCGAACGTACTTCACCTCATAGCCTAAGAAGCTATTGAATGCGTGCGAGCCTTTTACAATGACTTGCGGGGGCCAGCCGATTATCAAGTAGTGTTTTTATCTTTCTAGATTAATTTGGTACCAATTTACGGGCTCTAAAGGTAGAGGGCTTGGTAGGTCCAGGGGCAGGATCGAACCCGCGTCCGACCTGGTTATAGAGACGCCACATACCTGTATACCACTCGTCCCGGTAATCGAATATTGTTCAAAAATCAAAAAATTTCAAATATTTGATTATCAAATAATATTCAAGAATGGAAATTTTCGAATATCCGACTTTCGAATGATATTTGAAAATCGAATGTCATTCATTGTTCGAATCGAATATTATTTCGGCTTTCGTAATATTTGAAGAGATTGAATGTCATAAGATAGCTGTCTTTGAAAGACCAAAAATCTAACCATAGGCTGTTTTATGTACGTATCAAGGAATAAACACTTTTCTATCACAATTTATGATAAAAAACGGCCTAGTGGTGATGTCTAGGCTGAATTCGAAGGCTACTGCATGGCGAAGGCGCAGAAGCAGTATTAGATAACGGGCACGAACGCGGCGGGCGTTTATCTTCACCGTTGTAAGTCCTGCGTCTGTGCACTCTCTGCGGCTATTGGAGCCGCCTTCGCGTCTAGAAATATTGCGCCTTCTTCATGCAGCAGCCTACAGTTGGTATTTTTTCAAACCTGTTACATTGAGATATTATAATAGGTTGTAACACTTGAGACACTCTCACTTCTCACGGCGATAAGTCATGCAGTTCACATTCTCAGTAGGGATCCAAAATCCATTCGATAGAGCAAAGCAAGCTCTACAAGATGGTTTGCAAAAGTTCGCACCAACTTCAACCCAATGTAAGTTTGCATCCAAAATCTGATTCGTACTGAAGACTCAAAAATTCGCGAAAAATTCATATCTTTGTTCAAGAAAATCCTATGATAAACCAACTTATAAAAATTGCACACTATTATACACTCCTTTGTACCGTTTCTGGATTTTTTTCCTCATTTAAAAATCGAGAAAAAGGAAGATTTCATGTTTATACATAAATAAACAGAGCTATGTTATTTTCATTCATGTAATTGTATACTACAAGCCCTTAGAAGTATAATCGTAAATTTTCAGCTTCCTGTAAGCCCAGTTTTCGAGAAATATTGATTTTAGCATGAAATACCAAAGTGAGGTGAGCTAAATCCGGTAATTTTTGAAAACTAAGGCCTGTGGGTAACTGAAAATTTACAGTTATACTTTCAAGAGCTTGCAGTATACAATTAAATGAGTAAAAAACAGCATAGCTTCGTTTTTGTATAAATATGAAAATTTTCGTTTTCTCGATTTCTAAATAAGAAAAAATCTAGGAATGGTACTATGAGTGTCTGATGTAGTGTGCAATTTTTATAAGTTGGAAATTCGTAGGATTTTCTTGAACAAAGATATGAATTTTTCGCGATTTTCTAAGGCTTCAGTACGACTCGGATTTTGGATGCAAAATTACATTGAGTTGAAATTGGTACGAACTTTTGCAAACCATCTTGCAGAGCTTGCTTTGCTCTATCGAATAGTATTTTGGCTCCCTATTGAGAATGTGAACTGTATAACTTATCGCCGTAAGAAGTGAGAGTGTCTCAAGACTTATGTTACAACCTAACATTATCGCTAATTACCCTGTAGGGCACAGGATTTTTTATCATTTTTGGACACAGCATTTTTTTGGGCTCGTGATCCATTTAGGTAATCTTATAGTTATAGGCTACTGCATGATGAAGCGCAGAAGCACTATTACTTGAGCGGACGCGAACGTGACGCGACGCGCGCGTATCCTCAAAGTTGTAAATCCTGCACTTCATGCGCTCTGCGCCTAATAAAGCCGCATTCGCGCCCAAAGATATTGCGCCTTCGTCATGCAGCAACCTATTAGGTCGTGTAATAAGTTCTGTCCCATTTTTTGTTTTAGTTTTTTCTTGCCAACATTGATTATATTTGAGATAAAATGTATATGCTTTTGAAAGCTCTACGTCTGCTCTACAGACTCATATGCATCATTCCCCAACATAGCAGGAAACTGAAAAAGATTTTTTACATTGAAATAAAAAAACCAAAGAGCCGAAAAATCAAATTTTGACATCTTTTTTCCTCCAAATTTTTCTCGATTTTTATTGGTAAAACTTATGAAGCAAGCCTGACAACAACCAAAACAATCTATTAGAATTTTACACTTATTCTATCACTGTTTTCGCATGTTACCTTCCTTCCATCGGCTATTCAATGACATTTTTTTGAAGTCGGCAAGGCAAGACTCTGTCACGGCGATGTTCGCCGTCGCGCGTGCTCAAGCTGTGTTTCTTCCAAAATCCGAATTTTAAGAACCTAACCCATGAATTCGATAATTTTGAAGCCACAAACCATCCCTTCTTTCTTTTCTGGATGATCCGCCTACCGTCTTCCCTCAGGATGCCTTCAGATGATGCCCAATACCAACGTTGAAAAAGCTTTAGAAAGAAGAGTTTTCTAAAGTTTACAGAAATGATTTTTGAAAGGTTTCAGCACTCTTGAAGTGCAATAGAAGCTAGAGTATTCTTTGCTTACGTGTAGCAAATTCTTCGAGCTCATTCGTAGGCATTCTGACTAATTAGAAAGGCGACGTAACGTAGTTGTCGAAAATGGATTTTTTCCCTGTTTGATTTTCCAAATTTGACGCTGTAAAACTTTCTCCAGTCTTCTGTTGGAGAAAACCGAAATGAGAGTCTTAGTAGAGAAGGCTTAAAGCTTTCAAATGCATACAAACAATTTACAGAACATCGCGCAAAATATTGAGAAAAAATCGAAAGAAAAAATGGGACAGAACTTATTACACAACCTAATATACCTATTTCTATGACGTTGTGAAGAAATTTTTGTGAAGAAACTTTAAAGAAAATTGTCATTACGAATGAAGACGCGAACTTGAAGTTCCTGAGTAGTGAAATCGAGCAACTGCTGCGACATACAAATCCGGCTCGTCTTGAAACTGTTCAGGTTAAAGCTCGAAGAGATGTGGACTGATAAATACCGCAGGAAATTAAACTAGGATTCTGAAACAACGAGGGCCGCATGTTGCACTCAGTCGTAGTTATGCCATGTACACCGTAACAAATGTTTTTCAATGCTTCTCAAAAACTTGATTACACATTTGAAAAGCATTCAGAACTCATAAAAGTTGCGTTGTAGAATCAACTGCGTAGAAACTCTGATACACAAATTTCTAGATTTTACTTGAGAAGTTCTTTCTAAAGTCTTACTTCGCAGTTTCCATATATGCTGGAAGTTCCTACCGTAATCCCACAATAATAAAAGCATGGGTGAATAGCTTTTTGCTGTAAATGCACGCTGAAGCCAGCCCTACGTGTTGCGCGAAGGTTTTGCAAAAGACTTTATAGGAGAGGTATTCGCGATGAAAAGTGCAGTTACTCTTGGAACACCCCGTATATGCTATGGATACAGAATTTTTGAATATTTGGTGCTCATAAAATATTCGAATACTTTATTAACATTGAATAGTTGACTCGATGACCATCGAATGTTTGGATAATATTCTGTCGAGTCATTCGCAATAGAATGATTTATTTGAATAATCGAATAGTCATTCGAGTCGGTTCAAAGTGTAGTACCCAAACTCCCTCGTCTCCACACTTTGCCACAGCAATGGATATTATGGGATCGTCACATTCCTACGCGTCTTTCAGTCAATACTCTGATTCCCACTATGTGTTTTTTTCTTACTCTGCCCCCTCATCATTAGTCGCAGACGTTTCAGAGCGACAGCTTTATAAAGAACGTAAAGTGTCAAGTCCTGAATTTTGGTAGAGTACCACAAATGAAGTAGTTTTTTCTTTATGCAGCATGAAGTTCAACATACGCACTGTTGTTGTTTTCTTCAAGCACTGCCTTTGGTGTACGGATCCACCAATGTCCACTCGTGTATCGCTTTTTACTGAAAAATAGATACAACGCATGAAAGTAATCTATAAGGACCAACCAACTCTTCATTCTAATAATCCGCTCAACTGGGCAAGCTTGCTGAGGTATCTGCAATTAGATCTTATTCAAAAATCTTGTAATATTGAATTACAGTTAATGGTTTTTAGCAAGCGTCATTGATGTTTCTATTATTTTGTTGTCGTTCGAAAATGCAAATCGTATCTTATGTTGATGAAAAAAAAATTTTAAAACAGTTCTAAACTTTCTTCTGCGACGTTGGGAAGAGAGGTAAGGCTTATAAAAATTATGTAGTTGTGCAAGAAGAGTCCACTATTGAGTCACTCCAAAACTTTTTCTTTTTACCAGCCACTAAATAATTTTCGAAACACCATCAAAAAATATTTTTGCAATCGAAGCTTTTTTCGTCTTCTTCACAGCTAACAAAGGAAGGATTCTTGGTCGAAGTAGACTTTCCTAGACCCTTTTTGAAGGACGTCGAATGCTGAATCAAAATCTGTCTTCCTTATCTGCGGACTGCTCCGTACAAGAGTTATGAAAGCTTTTGTAGCCAATGTTTGAACGATAATCAAAGGCTTTGACCTCAAATGGAACCTGGTGGCTGTAACTCATGAAAGGAAAATTTGCTACTCAATACCTTTGTGCTTTTATCAGTCCAACGCAAATTGGAGTACCATCATCACTGATTATATTTTGATTAGGTGCTCAGATTTTCGACTTCTAATAAAACGCTCATAACTTTTCGCTTAGAGGAGCTTCGCAAATAAGGAGAAAGATTTGAAAGCCTTTAATGCCCTTTAAAAGCAGCGTCCAGGCAAATTTGGACCTATGGGGCTCTCACGTGGAAAGTAATCTTGAGGCCCTAAATAAGACTCTGCCCAAGCGTCAGTACAGATAGTGCACTCACGGCTAAGATAATGGGCTCCAAACTATGCTGACCGTATTCGTGAATTCGTAGCGCTTTTGCGCGAGGATTCACGCGAAGATGTGCCGAGCCATGAATCCATGCGAATTCGATCACGGGGCATAGGTCCAGATTTGCCTGGACGCTGCCTTTGAAGGCAGTGTCCGGGCAAAAACTCAATTTTGAGATTTGGTGCTTACCCTGGCCTATTCGCTATGCTGAATCCCAAAATCCATACTGGAAAGCGCGAAAACGGCGAAAAAGGGCTCTAACGCAGGAGGGAAATTAGAAGTGGGCGGAGTTCTCCCCACTGTGAAATTATGGTCCCGGTTTCCGGAGCGATCTTCTCAATTCCGCTAGTCGCCCTGGCATCTCCACAAACTAAGTGCGAATGCTTGACTTGAAATCGGAACCGAGAACATCACCCCGGGAGCTAGGAATTCATAGTGGAGAGGACCCTGTCCACATCTGATTCCTCTTCTGCGTTAGAGCCGTTTTTCGCCGTTTTCGCGCTCTCCAATATGCATTTCCGGATTCAGAGTAGCGAATAGGTCCGGGTAAGCAGAAAATCTCAAAATCGAGTTTTTGCCCGGACACTGCCTTTAACCTTTAAGAGGCGTGCCGGTTGCCACCATCAACACAAAAGGCCTGGGTAATGGGCGGAACAGCATTTTCATTAGTCCAGTCACAGATAACCTTCTTCAGTCTCTCTCTTTTCAATTGTGTTTGCACCTTCCGTTCTGTTCGTTTTTCAGCCATCATTGCAAGTTATATGAACGAGAAAATAAGGAATTGCGCTTAACTCAGCCTTCTGTACCCTTTTCGAGGATATTCAGATTATATCCGTACTGCTATCATAATCAAGCAGTACAAGGTTGTGCAGTAAACAGTCGCTAGGCGTTGGTAAGTTTAATTGTATTTCTTTGCTGTGACTTTCAGAATTGCTGTACGCAGTTGCTACCAGCGGCCATAGTGGAACTTTTTTGTTTGAAAAAAATCGTCAATGAGCTTCTACAAACATTGAAGGGCATGACTCGCAATATCACTTAAATATAGGCCGCGACTACTCCATCTGTTATCAAGGACTTCGGTACTGAAGCTTCGATATTGAAGATGATGTTGAAGAAATCGAGTAAGGAATGCAACGACAACGCACTTGAACGTCGAACTTAAGAGAAGATGGCGCGATGCAAGCATGAACACGTATCATGAATACGCCTATACACAACTGTTCCTACCAAACACAAGAAAATCAGCCAATAACCTTTGAGTGACCCCAGATTCGAAAAAAAGAGTTGGCTCTGGTTGATATGAAGGACTCAAGGAACAAAGCCGTAAACTGAAATCTTTCGGAGAACGTTTCTAATTCAATAAGTAAAATTCAATGCTTAGCTTTGCCTGACAAAACGACTGCTTCAAGTTCACATCAGTATGATAAAGTGGAAAATTGTTGTTCCATCAAAGCCTAATGGTGGCAATTGCCGTCACTTCGTAATTTCTTCCTGGTGATTGGTCGAAAAGTCTCAAAATTCACCTTAAGTATATGTGACAAAGTGAGAAACAATGAAGACAAGAAGCTTTTTTCCTCATGGAGCAAAAGTCAGGTACGAAAGGGTTAAGAGTATCATCAGAGGCATCACAACTGGAAAGGCAGCTTCAACAGGGGATACTTTCCCTCTACGTCTCAGACGCTGACCAGCACTTACATAATCCAAAAGAGTGAAAGCTAAGGGAGCACAAGTGCGATGATTACGGAAGTAGCATTGTTTCGGAAGAATATCCATTTACATCTATCGATTTTATAGATTTTAAAGAACAGGACAGGACAGAAAGGAGGGGGGAGAGGGGGAGGAGGAGAGAAATTGATATCGATTTGAAAAATATCGTCATACTTAGCTTTACCGTTTTTGGAGAACTTTCATCCGGGGGAATTGGGAGTTAGCATAGGACGCAAAATTTGCATGTTGATTACGAAATCACAGCGAAAATAGTCAGCCGGCATCTCAGACAACTGGCCGGAACTTCCGCAGCGCTTTCGCAGGATTTCCGCAGGTGACCCGGCGGAAATTCTGCGAAAGCGCTGCGGAAACGCTGCAATCTAGGGCACATGGTTTCCGCAGCACTTTGTTTGGAATTTCGCAGCACTTTGCAGTTTTCGCTTTTGACTCGCGATCCCTTTCTTCCATATCAACCTTTCTGATACTAGGTTTCATTTCCAATACTAGGTTTTCGCTTTTTACTAAGGTAGTATTCCTTTGATGTGGAAATTCCTCTAGACTTTCTAGATGCTAAGAGACGTAGACAGCGAGATAGTTTTAATGAGGAAGCAAATGGCACAGTGTATTGTTTTATGCAGGTACCATATAGAATCACAATAGGCCGAAGTTGATAATTGCAAATTAAAAGATCAATGAAGTGTTTATATAGTCGTCCTCACCCCACTAGTCGGTCGGTGGTCGAATTTGAATTCGAACTGGAGCAGGCTGGCCGCGGCAGAGCGCGGCAGGCGCCGCCCCCAGCCAATCGCTTGCACGAGCTTTTCTCTTATTTTCTTCGTGTTTCTTTGCTGTCTCTCGTATTGCGGCAATGTTCTCAATCAGGTTTTTAGATTTCGTGCCGTTAACTATTGTTTTGTGCATTGTGCTCCTTTGTTCAACACTTTTTTCCAAGTAAACCGGGAAGAAGGATGCTTTTGGAGATTTTTGAATGAGATATCTCTTTTCCAGTAACTGACATATACACAAATGTGATTTGATAAGCTTTGTCAAGTTTTTCTTCAGAATGTGTACTCCAAACTATTTTTTTTGCGATAGGGCTGAAAACGTCTCAAAAAGTGTTTGTTTCAAAGAGTTAGCGGTACGAAATCTGAAAATCTGTTAAGAACATTGCCGCAATACGAAAAATAGCAAAGAAACAGGAGAAAATAAGAAAAAGGTCGTGCAAGCGGTTGGCTGAGGGGCGGCATCTGCCGCGCTCTGCCGCGGTCGGCCTGCTCCAGTTCGAATTCAAATTCGACCATCGACCGACTAGTGGGGTGAGGACGACTATAAATAAACATACATAAAATCACAGAAGCATTCGAGTATCATAACTTATAATAAGGGGCTAAGGGTGTTTACGTGACTTTGTGTGTGTGTGTCTGTCTGTCTGTAACAAAATTTATACAGCGGGTTCCAGCCAACATCCAGAGCTCAAATTTTGCATAGCGCATGCTACCAACGTAGAACTCCACCATGCAAAAGCACGAACGGATTCGCTGGATGGGTCCCTCAGAATTTGCGCGTCAAACGGTCCACTTGGCTTCTGGCTCGCAAAATTGGGTCCGTATCAACGCTTTTTGCAAAGCCGTGGATGTGTTTAGCAGGTTGATGTGTAGGTCATGGACTTTAAACCAAAAAGTGACCAAAGGTTTGCTACTTTACGAAAACGACGCCAAAAAGAAGGGTTCCTGTAAATGGTCAATCCGCCGTGGATTTACCTGAGCATTTAAAAAGATTTTTGCATAGAAATGTAGCTCACAGTAACTATTGTCTTCATGGCGACTACCAAGCCAAAAAAGTTTGAAAACCTATTCAAACTTGCATTTGTTCTTCTGCGAAAAGTTACATCCACTCGAAATCACCGATCTTACATAAAAAAGCTTTTAGAATGAATAGTTGTTTACATTTTATTCGCGATAGTCAGCATTGCGCGGTGGGTTTCAAAGCCATTATTAGGCGAGGATAAGTAAGGCATATAGAGTAGAACCAGTGCGAGCCTCTGCGAAGCAGAGCTGACGCACTGACGACTAATAACGCTGAACGGGTCCGTATAAGAATAAAAATGCCAGTGTCACCTCTGCTTTTTGGAGGCTTGCAGTGAAGGTTGTGGAAAGCCCGATAATACAGAGTTTCGTTTGAATCCACAATCTGAGCATCAAGACCTTATGATAACGGGCTAAGGGTTGTTTACGTGTTTTTGTGTGTGTCTGTGTGTCCGTCTCTTACGAGATTCGTAGAGCGTGTTCTAGCCAGCGTTCTAAGCCCAAATTTTGCACAGCGCATGCAATCTTCATGAAAGTCCAAAATGCAAAAGCAGGAATAGATTCGTTGAGTGGACCCCTTAGAAATTGCGCGCCAAACGGATCCATCTGGCTTCTGTCCCGCAAAATTGGGCCCGTATCCACTTTTTGCGAAGTCGTGGATGT